TCAAAAGCATCAATTCTTCTATAGTCTTCCTTATTCACTGTCCAGCTTTCACATGCATATGAGGTTATTGAAAATACCATGGCTTGGGTCAGGTGCACCTTAGTAGACAATACTAATCATTATATGCGTCAGCTTTAATTCCCATGAGAGACCGTGAAATGAATTCACTCACCTCATTGCTTGTGAAAGCCAAAATGATATGACTGACCACTTCTACCTCGCCCTGCTTAGCTCTCTAGTTTGTTCGAAAATCTCTTTCATGCCAGATGGTGAGGTCAGAATAATTACAATTTTATCTGTATTCAAAGGATAAATTTCAAATGTGTACTGTAACCCTTAAAATTGCCCTCTTATAACTCTTTCCATTGAATGACACATGCTGGAATCCATGTGTAGTATCTAATCATTAAGAACGATCTTATGATTAAAGTAAATATACTGTGTACACAGTATATTTACTTTAATCAAATCAAGTCCTATGAAATGGAGGACTCTTGACTATTAAGAGATAATTGGATTAAAGAGCTCTATTACCTCCAAATTAGTACTAACAGCATGCAGTGTCTTATGTTACTGTATTTACCAGGTCAAAAAAACCCACAACTTTTTATTTATTTTTTTTTTTGTATTGGGTTTGTCTGTGTTTATTGTACTTCCAAGTAAGTGTTAGTTTGTAAGTAGTTTAGAACTATGAGTTATGTGGTTATTTCTATAGAACTTTTGCTTGAATTTTCATCTTATTGTGTAGTTATTTCTGTTTCTTTTCATTCTGAACAGGTGAACAGCATTCATCCAGAATGCCGATTTCATTTGGAATTACAGAAGGAAGAAAACGATTGTGCAAAACTTTTACGTAACCAGACAGGAAAACACAAAGGTAAGGCAGAGGGCTTGATAGTTAAGATTATACACATAGATGAATAATTGGGCATACAAATATCTCACATTTTTCTCTGCTAAGCTGATATTTTAAGATCATCTTTTTAAAAAAGCAGATTACTTTGTGCATTTTTAATGAATTAAGCAAAACAGTAACACACAACATATGTAGTACTGTATTTGAGGAGTTTTCTCACAAACCTTTTTAAAAAAAGAAAGCCTCATTCCTTAACAGTAACATTTTTCTTGGTTTGAGAATATAGCAACAGTTACTAAAATCATTTCACAGCAATTGCTATGCTTTACAAAGTAGTTCCAGTTTTATAT